GGACTCCAGGATCATGACCTGAGCCGAAGGCAGTCGCTTAACCAACTGAGCCACCCAGGCGCCCGCTGCTATATTCTTTTTGCTTTTTTTTTTTTCTTATTAAAACTGGGGTCTTGGAATCTCTCTAAATGGAAAGGTCTGGGGCTGAAGGAGCCGAGAAGGGCTGCTGGGATACACTTAAGTCCAGAGACGCTGGAGCAGCTGAAGGTTGGAATGTGATCCCCGGGGGCGTTTGGAAGGCCACTCAGGCCACCCTCCAGACAGATCATTAAGAAATGGCTAGTATAATCCAGGGGAGAGGAATGACAATCTAAAACTCTTTTCTCTCTTAGGGGCAACATGACTTCAAGTATCATCTCTTAACAACTCCCAAATCTCTGAATATGGTAAACAACAAAACAAGGAGGAGGAGACAGGAGTGAGCCATTTTATCCAGGTAGAGCAAAAACATCCAGACAGCTATCCATTTGGTGGTAGGAGATGTGGAAAGAAGAGTCAGTGATGCTTTGGAGTCATCAAGCTGGGGTCTCTGTTTCCACCAATAGAAACAGCAGAGTCAAGAAGTGAAGTTAGTTCTCGGTGAAGGTCAGTTTGGCACTTCTTGACCTTTGAATGCCTGGAGATATCCCATGTGCATGCAAGGGGATATGCTAGGCTTTGTGCAATGTGGAGGTTCCCACCTCTGGAGCACTCAGGAGAAATGAGGACCACACACAGATTGTCACAGGGCTCAGAGATGGTAGGTGGAAACAGGTGATCCCTAAAAGGAAGACTATAGAGAAAGGAAAGGTTGAAGACAGGAGCTTGGAAATGCCTCCATTGAGAAGCCAAACAAAAGAGATATAACCAGGGAGGGAGGAAGCCATCAAAGCTCTGAAAAGCTATCAAAATAAGCAAGGCAGCATCACAGAAACCCAGAGGAGAGAGTTTTGAGAGAGAAGAGAGAGGCTGAGGTGAGAGAGGATCACTGCTACAGAGACACCGAAGGGGGGAAGGGCTGAGAATAGGGCCCCGCGTTTGACAGTGTGGGGCCCTCCCTTCCAGCCCCACCCACAGCGCACATGTGTAACTGCCACCGAGTTGGGGTCGTTTTGCTGTGCCCTGCCGTCGCTGCCTTATTTCTACTACTTCTCCTACTACTTGGGCCAAGATCCCTGCCATGTTCAATATTCTGCCTTTTGTTATTGACCCTGAACTTCTCTTGGCCCACTCTGGTCACCCATGGAAGTGTACCCCTCAAGGCTTCCTTTAGGAGAGGACTTTCTGGGCGGAGTGCAGAGAGCTGACTGTTGAGGCACAATCCACTCAATGTGGTGCGGAGGCCACGCTGTCCCTGGGCAGCTCCCAGCCAATGACAGAGCACAGAGGGCAGTCTTGGAGCTGGACTCCCCTGATGGCATCTCTGCTCTGGTGCTCCCTTTGGCTTGGCAGAGATGTTCTTGGGGTTGCACTGCAGTTCGGAGGCTCCTCTGCCCAATTCTCTTTCCTCCCCCTCTCCTTTCACAGGTGTCATGACCACAGAGGGTCTGAGACTTCCCTCTTACTCCCCCTCCCATTCCCCCTTTGTCCCACCATGTCTCTTATATTTCTTTTTCTTTTTTTCTTTTTTAAAGATTTATTTATTTATTTGAGAGAGAGAGAGAGAGCGGGGGGAGGGGCAGAGGGAGAGAGAGAGAATCCCAAGCAGACTCCCCATTGAGCACAGAACCCGACACAACGCAGAGCTCGATCCTGGGACCCTGAGATCACAACCTGAGCCGAAATCAAGAGCCAGCCGCTTAGCCGACTGAGCCACCCAGGCGCCCCGTCTCTTGTACTTCTAATCCTGTCTTGGCATCTGCTTTCCCAAAGCACTCAAGTCGCTTGTCTAAGATGTTTGTCTAAACTAAAATCAATCCCTTAACAGAGCTCCCACCTGCTTTTGTCTAGCTCCCAGGCCTGAGTTCTTCCCTCCGGCCTCTCTTGGAGAAGGCTCCCTCTAGCTGCATGCTAACTAGGGAAGCCAGGCACCGAGCAGGAGCAGTGGGAGCCGCCGCCCTCCTGATTCTCCCAGGGAGAGCCTACGCAGACTGCGCCTTCCACAAGCCTCCATGGAGCTCTCGCCATGTTTTCTTATTGCCGGTGTGCTGTGTGTTTGCATGTCTGTCTCCCCAAAACCACGAGATCCTAGAAGATAGGGACTGTGGCCCCGCTCATTCTTTTCTCCCCAGTACCCAGCACAGTTACTAGCACCGAGAATGTTTTGCATAGGTTTTTGTTGAATGAACGTTGTGATTCAGATCTGTTCCATAGGCAGGTGGTATGACTGTGTAAAAAGGCTTTGCAGGGGCGCCTGGGTGGCTCAGTCGTTAAGTGTCTGCCTTTGGCTCAGGTCATGATCCCGGGGTCCTGGGATCAAGCCCCACATCAGCTTCCTGCTCCGCGGGAAGCCTGCTTCTCCCTCTCCCACTCCCCTTGCTTGTGTTCCTGCTCTTGCTGTGTCTCTCTCTCTGTCAAAAAAATAAAATCTTTTTTTTTTAAAAAAAAAAAAGGGCTTTGCAGTCAGAGGGGCAAGAACAAGTGTTGCTCTGAGTCTCAGCACGTGTATCAACTTAAAAAACAGTGATCAAAAAAAATAATTACTAAGGAAGATGCCTTCTTCCTCATTCCCGGACTTTCTTTCCATGTCCATGAACCTCAATGAGTGTAATTCCTGGCCTCCTTCCCCAGTCCCCACTCTTACTCACTCTCACCCAGGAAGAGGCCAGTTTGGGAAGAAACTAGGTGAACTCAGCTCACACTCTTTTTCTCTTGGATCAGCCAGCCTGGAGCGGACCTGTGTTCTTGATGCCTTTGAGCCTTGCCATAGGTCTAGGGCAAGACTTCTCAATCTTGACACCATTGGTGTTTTAGGCTGGATAATCCTTTGTTCGGGGGGGAGAGGGGGCATCCTGTGCATTGTACAATGTTAAGTAGCACTATTGGTCTCTCCTCACTAGATACTAGCAGCATCTCCTAAGTTTGACAACCAAAAATATCTCCAGATATTGTTGAATAGCCCCTGGGGGGTGAAACTGACCCCAGTTGAGATCTGCTGGTCTAGAGTAAAAGCCTTGACCCTAAGAAACAAGTAGGTCCATTAACTTTTGTGATGACATAGGTGAATATGTGTCATTCTGGGGTCGTCAGGTTAGTGTAGTGGGTTGACTGGTTACCCCCAAAGATATGTCCGCATCTGGCTGAGTGACTTCGACTCTATGATAAGATCCACCTCTACTTTCTGATCTCCTCCCAGGCTGCAACTTCTCATTCAGAGAGCACAGCCAGAGAGGTCTCAGTCCCTCAGTATGTTAAATACGCAAGGAAGTGGCCAGGCAGATCTCCCCAAGCCCTTCCCAGGGTTCATACTCAAGAGGCCAGACACATGCTTTCCCATTGCAGGTGTGTGACTGCAGATGCCCCCCCCACACCGGTCTGGGGGACAAGGACAGACTGAAAAGACCTTATCCAAATGCTCTCCAGCTCCAGACCCATCACCTGACATCTCTTTTAGCCATAGGACTCCACAGAGGGAACAGACAACTGAAGATTCTCTGCACTAATGCCAATATGATATGCAAGACACCAAATATCAATTTGCCTCAATCACAATTCTGTATGCACGAGGAGAAAAATTCCTGGGACTTCAACCCGGGAGGGCGAGCCACCCCACTCCCACCCCCTTTGCTTTTAGGACTCACTGTTATCTGTGTTGCCTTACTTACATGATCAGTAGCTCCGACTCATATCGCATTAATTTATTCTTCTCCAGAGCCAGCTTAAACCATTCCTGCAAAAGCTGTGCTTCATCTTGTGTGCCTGAATCTGCTTAAGAAATCAACAGCAAATGCGTTAGATTGGCATTTTTCTCCCTGTGATCAACCTGCTTAGAAGCTGCGCTAGTGGGCCATGTTTGTAGCGGGAAAAGGCTCAGCAGGCAGCAGCCACCTGATGGCCTGTTGATGCCTCAGGTTGCGGGCCTAACAAATCAAACCCCCCTGTGCATGCTCTGGGGGAGAGGTCCTCTTGGACACTGAGGGCAGGAATCCTTCAGCTCCAAGGGTCATATAATCTTGATAATGTCCTGCCACAAATGAAACTTCTCTTGCCTACTAGTAGGTTCTCTATAAAACTTCTGTATGTTTATGCATCACATTCACCACCAAAGAAAATCCTAGTAACTCTGCTGGTTACTATCTCCTCCTCCCTTACTGAGTGCCCGGGTGGGGTGTGGCTCCCTTCGTGGGGCAGAGACACCCACGCCACATTTAATCATAGAGGGGTGGTGATGGGCATCATGATTTTTTGCACAAAGAAAAGCCAAATGATGAAAAAAAAATGTTATTAGCTTTGAGTCTCACTCGAAGAGTTATAGTCATACCTTCTTATAACTTAGATTTATGACCTTTATTGAGCATAAAAATAACCATGAGAAAACCGACACTGCTTTTAGATATGCAATATTAGATGCTAAAGGTTTATATAATACAATGTTAAAATCTGGGCATATTTCATAAGTAGCAACATGGAGGTGGCTTTTTAGTATTTCACCCTGAAATGAGGACACAGGCTATATTGCAAAGCTCATGGCCATTCTAGACGGATTTATACTGGAGTGTCCCATAGGCAGAGGGGAAAACAGTGCAGATGGAAGTTATACATGACCTTGAGCCTTTGCTTCTTCATTGGTTAAACTGAACAATAAGACACACAATATAATAGAAATAAGCTACTGTTTATTATGCAGTGATCACATGCCAGTCAGTGGGCTCCGTGCATTACATGGGACATCACATTTAATCCTCATGACAAACTCACCAGTAGGTTTGCTTATTGTCACCACCTGATAGCTGAAGACAAGACAAGTTTAGAAGATTAATTTTCCCAAGCTCACAGTTAGTAAGTGGCAGAGCCAGGGCTTGAACTCAAGTGAGACCTACCCTAAGCCTGGGCTTTTTGCTGCTTGTATAGCACTCCCCCCCTCCTCCTCACTCCTTCCTTCCTTCTTATAGGCATGTAAGGTAAGTCACATCCCTAGCACATTGCCTTGTACCTAGTAAGTCATCCATAAAAATGAGTTCCCTTTTCTCCCTGTCTTTTTTTTTAAAAGATTTTCTTTATTTGAGAGAGAGAGAGAGCACAAGTGGGGGGAGAGGCAGAGGGAGAGAGAAAGAGAAATGCAGACTCTCCGCTGAGCAGGGAGCTGAAGCGGGGCTCCATCCTAGGACCCTGGGATCATGACCTGAGCCGAAGGCAGATGCCCACCCAACTGAGCCCCCTTCCCTGTCCTCTTGACCACCTTTTTATTGATATGGACACTTGAGTCTAGAGAGATTTATATAAGTGTCCCAAATTATATAATTAATGGGTAAACTGGTGCTATAATGCAGATCTTGACTTCTGAAGAATTCATTCATTTGTCCATTTCATCCATCCATCCATCCATCCATCAATTCATTCATTCATCTAATAACACCTATTTATTGAATAGGTATTGAATACTGCTTTAGGTACAGTGACAGATAATGCTACATATCATGAGAAATTTGGACATAGTAAGGCATAATGCCTGCCATCTCTCTCTCTCTCTTTTTAAGACTCTTTTGAATCAGATGGATTTAAAGAGCTAGAATAAAATAGACCATTAGGAAACTCCTGCAACAACAAAGCAGCAAAAAACTACTCTGGGAAAATGCAGAAGGGAGGGTTTTCCTGGTCAGGATGTGAAGCTGGCAATGTCAGCAAAGACATGGGGATGGAACAGAAGGCAGTAGAGACAGAGATCAGGCAGGGCTAAGGGGGATGGAAGGGTGCAGGGTGAGGTCTGGGCGTGTCTGAGGATCTCATCATAGAGGCCACTGAACGTCATGCTAAGGCTATTGTACTTTATGAGGGACATGCAAGGTGGTGGAGCAGGATAATTTAGGTCAAGTTTTACACAGAAAGGATTAAAAGGGAGAGAGGGAGGGAGAGAAATAAGCAAGATGTTATTCTTCCTTAGGTTTCTTGGATGAACGAATGAATGATTGAATTTATAAACATGTTGAGTACCAACATCTTCTAAGTAATGTTCATGGTGCTGAGGGGCAGGGATGAATAAGCATTGGTTTCGACTCTTAGGGAAACAGGGAGCTTGCAGGTCAGTGGGGAAACCCAACACTGCACAGCCAAATAGAATACAATGTGTCCCCTTGCTATGACAACACTGAAAGAATAAAGTATATAGACCAGAGATCATATAGAACATAAAAGTTACTTTAAACTCAGACTTGGGATCTAAGTTGCACTCTTCAACACTCCATTACCTGGGCTTGAACACTTAGCGTAGCCTCCCTGAGCCTCAGGCTTCTCATCTGTTACGGAAATGCAGCGGGATTGACTGTGCACACAAAGACCTTAACCCAGCCCCCGCATGTGGTTTAAGCTCAGTAAGTGGTAACAGTCATTTTCCAGGATGCAACTGAAAGGGAGTCTGAATCAGACTATCAACAGCTCAGAGTGAAGAAACCCTCCTGCACCTTAGCCCAGCACCCTAGGGCTGCAGAGGTCTCTTAGCTGCCGTGTGTCTTCACTGGGCTCTTACTACCTTGCACACAAGGTGGTCTTTCCACACTGGCGGTGGTGAAGTCTGATGACTCTGTGTTCTATTTGTACAACTGATCTTTTCCTTCACCTGAGTCAAGACTTTCTATGTATCTTGTTAAATATCATCTTGTTTATTCTGTTTCATCATAGGGGAATCTTCTGAATATTTTATCTAGCTGACACAGACCTCGCTTTGGGAATTCTGCAGAATTGATAAATGGGCATCCTGGACCTTTATGCAATATTGAAAAACAAAATGTCAGATGGGACTGGACCAAGAACAGAGCCATCTGGCCCATCATCAGGGACCCTTCTCAGGCTTTGGGTAAGGCTGTTCTACAGACTCTAAATGCACCCGATCATCCAGCACACGTCTATGTTTTGTCCATGAGGCTGTTACAGGAAACTTTGGTAAACTAATTTCCTGAAATCAAGCTTCACAATGTCTGCCATGTCCATTGGCACTGCAAACCTCACAACTCCACCCAGAAAAGGAAATGACATTTGTTTTCACAGCTTCTCAGTAAACACCAGTGGTTCCTAGTAATCTCTAAATTTCTTTCTAAATATTCACGATTTCTTTAATAATCCTTTCTAGAATTTTGACAAGGATCAGAATTCATATTTCTTTCCCATGTGATGTGAAACATAGAAAATATAGTGGCCTTTAGTCTTGGGTTCTGGAATTCTCCATGGGTTTCCAAAGACAGAGGTTACATCTACCAGTTATTTCAAACACCAGAAGGTTAATTTGGTTCATTCAACAGGTTCTGATTGAGTAATGCCACACTCAAGACACTAATCTATATACCGTCTTTCACCTGGGCTTAGAAACCTGAATTCATTGCTCTCACCTCATTTTTCTCACCTAGATTTCTCATCCAGATTCAGTTCCCTCTTCTAGATGTGTTTAACATTTCTAGATTGAGGACCATTTTCCTTGATAAAGAAAACATAAAAGCTGAGAGTTGGAAATTCTGCCTTTTTTCATCATGTAACATTACACCATCTGCCTGAGCACTGGGCCTCTCCTTTCCTTGTTCTCAATCCAAAAGAAACAGCTTTAAAGGCACTATTTTGCTGTCTTTAGAGTTTTGTGTTTTTTTTCCCCCCAGATTCAGCCTCTTTGCTGCATTATACCCACAGGTTCTAGCCAGACTTTTATCCTGCATTACATGTTTCCTTCTTAATTTCTCTTATGTATCCTTCTCAAACATGGTCCATGAGAGAGTCGCCTTGCAGCCGTACTGATTTCTACTGATGCTGTACTCAACAAACACAAGTTGAACTGAATCATTGCATTCAATTTTCTTTTTTTCCCCATGAAATAATTTACAGTAGTTTTTTTGGAGTCTTCCTTTCCTCAACAGTCAAAATCACTTCGGGGGATATCTTTGAACTACCGAAATTGATCCATTTTCCTGTTGATGGATATCTAAGTTGCTCTTCATGTCCTGCTCTGGAATATACACTTGCAAATGAGCTTCTTGAATAGTATTGTATACAAAGCGTTGGTCAGTTTCACAGCAGAAAGCCAAAGTGTTTTCCAAAGAGCTATGACTGTTTTTACTCCCACTAACATTGAATAAAAAGCTCCCCTGGCTTCTTATCCTTGCCACATCCTTCATATTACCAAGTTTTATAAATTTTGGTAATTTAATAGTTTAAAAATAGTTTCTCATCATAGTCTTCATTTGCATTTTCCTAGTTACTAATGAGTATTCTTTCTGTGAAATATATTTTTTTATTTGCCTATTTTTATTTTTTAATTTAAATTCAATCAATTAACATATAATATCTTATTCGTTTCAGAAGTAGAGGTCAGTGATTCATCAGTCTTATAGAATACCCAGTGCTCATTACATCACGTGCCTCCTTAATGTCCGTAAGCCAGTTACCCCATCCCCCAGGCCCCTCCCCTCCAGCAACTCTCAGTTTCCTACCGTTAAGAGTCTCTTATGGTTTGTCTCCCTCTCTGATTTCATCTTGATTTATTTTTTCTTCTCTTCCCCTATGATCCTCTGTTTCGTTTCTTAAATTCCACACATGAGTGAAATCATATGATAATTGTCTTTGACTTATTTCGCTTAGCATAATACCTTCTATTTCCACCCACATCGTTGCAAATTATTTGCCTATTTTTATACAGGCAGATATTTGCTTCTCTATTTCTTATTGATTTGTAAGGGTTCTTTACATAGTCTAGAACACTGATTCTTTTTTGGTTATATTTGTTGCAG